GCAGGGACGGGGACAGGAACGGGCACCGGGAATGGGGCAAGGTCCGGGGTCAAAGTCGGGGACCGGGACCGGGAGCAGGGACGGGAATGGGGAAAGGGACCGGGACCGGGGATCAAGGACGGAGAAACGGGACTGGGAACGGCCCCAGGAGCGGGAACGGAACCGGGAGCGGGAACGGCCCCGGGAGAGGGAACGGAACCGGGAGCGGGAACGGAACCGGGAGCGGGGCTGGGAAGGTGCCGCAGGCCGGGACTGGTGACCGGTGTGGTACCGGGAAGGGATGGGGATGGGGATGGGGCCGGTACCGGGCCGGTGTCAGTGCCTGGGAATGGATCGGGATGGAGCCGGTACCGGGCCGGTGTGGTACCGGGAATGGATCGGGATGGGGCCGGTACCGGGCCGGTGTGGCACCGGGAATGGATCGGGATGGGGCCGGTACCGGGCCGGTGTCGGTGCCCGGGAATGGATGGGGACAGGGACAGGCCGGTGTCGGTAGCCGGGAAGGAGCCGGTGCCGCAGGGGCCCAGCAGTAACGGCACTGCCGGTACCGGGAAGGGGTCGGGATCGGTACCGGGTCGGTGTTGGTGTCACTGCGGGTCCCGGTCCCGCAGGTGTCCAGCAGTAACGGCGCTGCCGGGGCCGGTACCGGGATGGGATGGGGTCGGGTTTGGGTCGGTACCGGTGTCACTGTCCCGGTTCCGGTGTTACTGTCCCGGTTCTGGTCCCGGTTCTCAGGTGTCCAGCTGTAAGGAGCCGGTCCCGGTCCCGGTGCCGCAGGGGCCCAGCAGTAACGGCACTGCCGGTACCGGGAAGGGGTCGGGATCGGTACCGGGTCGGTATTGGACCGGTGTCAGTGCCCGGGAAGGGATCGGTACGGGGCCGGTACCGGGTCGGTGTTGGTGTCACTGACTGTCCCGGTTCTCAGGTGTCCAGCAGTAACGGCGCTGCCGGGGCCGGTACCGGGATGAGATGGGGGTCGGGTTTGGGTCGGTACCGGGTCAGTACCGGTACCGGTGTCACTGACTGTCCCGGTTCTCAGGTGCCCAGCAGTAACGGCGCTGCCGGGGCCGGTACCGGGATGAGATGGGGGTCGGGTTTGGGTCGGTACCGGGTCAGTACCGGTACCGGCCGGTGTCACTGTCCCGGTTCTGGTCCCGGTTCTCAGGTGCCCAGCAGTAACGGCGCTGCCGGGGCCGGTACCGGGATGAGATGGGGGTCGGGTTTGGGTCGGTACCGGGTCAGTACCGGTACCGGTGTCACTGACTGTCCCGGTTCTCAGGTGCCCAGCAGTAACGGCGCTGCCGGGGCCGGTACCGGGATG